ATAGGCCCAATATCTGTAACGTAACTATAGATTTTGATCGTGAAGCGCCGTGCGCTCATCAATAGAAAAATGTTCTCCTCCATGCCGACGCAATGGCATATACTGCAAGAAAAAAAAACACAAGAAACAAATTTGGGAACACGGTTAGTCTGTTCTACTCCACCTGCCATATCCACCTGACGTTGCACCATATTCAGAATATATCTATTCTTATACAAAAACGAAAAAAAATCATACTTATATTATTTACATAAAATAGCTATTATTTAACGATCTGCTTTTTTCTTCTTCTATGTGCCGTGTCCCTTCAGGACATTAACGATCATAGCTCTCCACAATTTCCTGTCTTTTATTGCGCTTAATATTTATTTCCTTATTGCTAACTAAATCTCCTTCCGCCATCAATTTGCTCAATCCCCTTAGGTAGATTATACGTTTTTTTTTCTCTATCCCTCTTGCCTCCAATCTGTCCTGTGAATATTGAATTTGCCAAGGCCTCTTTTCTCATTATGTGCCCTAGAAACTTCAACTGATTTTTTTTTTAAATGTTAAGTAAAAGTATTCTTTTTGTTTCTATTTTCTCAAAGACTTCGTCATTGCTGACATGTTCTGTCTATTATATTCTCGACATCTTTCTGTAGAACTATAGTTCTGCTGCTTCAAGTCTTCTCTTCATCTTTGAGGAGATTGTCCAGCATTCGCTACCATATAGGATTACTGATATTACGTAACATTTCAGCACATTTTCACGTTTATAACGAAATGTTTCTATTCTCTTATGAGTACAGATTTTCGGAGGTGTCATTATCTATCAGTTGTAGAGTAGTTTTCACAGTGGAGGCTTGTATTTCACTGAGTCGGTCCTAAAAAAAGGTTTGACGTAAAAAAACGTTAGGAACTTGAAATAATAGTTAATGACGCAGCAATCTAGTTGTGGTGGTTGATACTTTAATGTCCCACATCGACTGACTCACCAACTCACTGAGCGATATTCAGTCACCCCGACGAGGGCATCATGTGGCACAAGGCCGGTTTAACGTGGGATCTCCGAGACCGTGGGCTCGGCCAAAAATATGCCCTTTTAAAACCCGTATAAACGGGTTCAGGGTCGGTTTACCTCCCCCGAAAGAGACTCCGCCCTTCGGCGTAGCCTCGTTCGGGTTCCTCCCCGCCCAAAGGCAGAAAGCTCAACCGGTCAGCTGGTCGTCCGACTTCAGACTGAACTCAGACCTACTCACTGAGCTCCCTGGCGACTGCTACTACTACTACTACTACTTATAATAGGTGGGAGAGTCTATTAACAATAGAATAGGTGTGTTTCAGTATAGCATCATCAATCTTCGCCTTTGGATTATAGTGTTGCACTATCCGTCCTCTGTTAAAACACTTCCTATTTTTGTACTTGTTTGAATTTGGTATCTGCAATTTCTTATTTCTATGGCCTTTTACTAACAACCATATATTTTGATTTCTTGCAATTGAGTTTTGTATTTACTTGACTCCCCACTGAGTCAGGTTGGGACACAAGGTCCGTTTTTAACCTGGGGACCCGAGTGTCTTAACTCGAGCCGCTGATCTTAGCTAATCATAGCTTGTCCAAGCTGGTCTTAGCTTGTCCAAACTGGTCATAGCTGTGATACTACCAGCGCAGGGACGGATCCCTGTGACTGGTATGTATTCGAATGTGCATGCCGCTCCAAGGAGGGGTTTACACTTTTTGCAATTGAGTTTTTTTTCCTTTATTCTTGCTTTCCTTCCCTATATTCTCCAAAATCTTTTGAAGTTTTCTTTTCATGTCGTCTATCAGCACTGTGTCATCTGTATATCTCATATTGTTTTAGAGTGTGGCTGCCTATACTGAATCTTGGTAGGACATCGCTGTATAGACTGAATAAATGCAGTGAGGAGAAACTACCATGTCTTTCATCGCTTTCTATTTCAGTATATTTACTGAGTTAATTTAGATTCCAATATATGTTATGAATTAGTGTAATATCCTTCCAAATATGGAAC